GGGGTGCTGGAATTGGGGATATTGGGAACGGGGGTGCTGGAAGTGGGGATAATGGAATTGGGAGATGATGGAATTGGAGGATGTTGGAAATGGAGATGCTGGAACTGGGAATACTGGGATTGGGGGTAATGGGAGGTGATGGGATTGGGAACACTGGGTCTGGGGGTGCTGGAATTGGGGATACTGGGAATGGGGGTACTGGGAGGTGGTGGGGTTGGGAGTGCTGGAACTGGGGAGATTGCAACTGGGAGATACTGGGACTGGGTGTGCTGGAGATGATGGTACTGGAATTAGGGATACTGGGAATGGGGGGTGCTGGAAGTGGGAGGTGATGGAATTGGAGGATATCAGAACTAACTGGGAATGCTGGGACTGGGAGTACTGGGACTGGAGAGGCTGCAGATGAGGATGCTGAAATAGGGATATGCTGGAAATGGGAGATACTGGGACTGGGGTTGATGGGACTGGGGACACTGGGAGGTGATGGGACTGGGAATACTGGGGCTGGGGGTGCTGGAATTGGGGATAATGGAAGTGGGAATACTGGGACTGGAAATTGGGAAATACTGGAACTGAAATTGGGATATGCTGGAAGTGGGGGGGGTGCTGAGACTGGGAGATACTGGGACTGGGAGTGCTGGGAGGTGATGGCATTGGGAGTGCTGGAAATGGGGAGACTGGAACTGGGAGATATTGGGACTGGGGGATACTGGAGCTGAAAGCTGCACATATGGGATGCTGGCAGTGCCAGGTGGTGGAACCCAGGCAATGGTGGTGATGCCAGAACCTGGATAATGGGCCGGATGGTGGAACCCAGGCAGTGGTGGTGATGCTGGATGCTCAACCTGGCTGATGTTGGATTCTATGGGATGCTGATGGTGCCGGATCCAGTGGATCCCCATCTCTTGGTGCTCTCTGCTCATGCGAGGCTCTGATCCCATCCGTGGGCTCTGGGTGTTGGGGGGGTGGGGGGCAGTGGGTGCAGCCCACAAAGGGCTTTTGTGTGGCTGCGCCGGGTGCCACCAGGTCCCTTTGTGCCATCATTCTGTTGTTCTCCCGGGGACAGCGGGGATGGCGCTGGGGGAGGGGGGGGGGG